TCTATGGTAAAAAAAAATTGTTTATTAAGTTCTGAATTTTAGTTAACAAGTGGCATTTTGTGTCCAATAAATGTTATTTGTGTCATTCAAGAGCTTAAAAAATTAATTCTCTTAAATCAGAGCAAAAGAAAAGAACTATAAGATAGACAAGTTTTTGATTGGTGGTGTGTTGCTCGGGTTTTTAGTGATAGCACACACACCTTAGAGTTCCCAAGACACAGATCATTTTTCCTTTTTGTATATTATACGAAACATCTTCAATACATAAATATTGAACTATTTCACCAATTGTGCTCGCTATTTTTAAACTATTCCTGAAATCCTTTGTGGATGGTATTTGCAAGGCAATATTGTTAGATGTATTGTATTTCCTTACAGTGTCACAAATTTTAAATGAGCTATTTTTCCAAAATCCAGACGGCTTCAAATAGCAAATTTCAACATGACATTGTGCTATATAATTCACGAAAACACCAACACTGTAAATTAACCATGTTCCATAACTTACTAAACCGATGACAGAAGATATAACATCAGAATGAAATAAAAAAGAATCAAATAAAATGAATAGCTAAGATTTTTAATGCTAATTCAACCTTTCTAAAAATTCCATGCCACAAAACATTTGGTTACCATGAGTTAAGTACAAAAATTCTACCTTTCAGAAACTACAATTTTCATATAGATTGTGCTATGCCAGTAACGCTCCTTCATATGTTAAGATTTTCTATTGCTTAAAATGAGAAATAAAGTATTAGAAATATAGCAAATTTTCAGAGATATATTGATGTCTAAGCGAAAGATTATGGTTCCTCCTTCAACTGAGGATATGGAGGGACAAAATATAAAGTAACCCACAACAATAGGTAGTATGATAAATACGAATATTACAACTTTAAGATTTAAAGAAAAACACGTTATGTGTCAGCAACTCTCATCATACTAAAATCAAAAGTATAGCAGAGTGTAATGATAACTATTCTATTAAACACAATATTGGAAATTATACTACTTTATTTCCTACTTATTACAGTTCTATTTATCCACTAATTTTGCCTTAAAATATTTACCCTCAAATTTCTAAGATGCTTTGCATCTAAGACCAAAGAAAAGAGTAGAGACTGCAACTTTTAGAAGCTATAACAAAAGTATTCACATTGGATTACCAACATAGTTCTCTTCCTTCAACAATGTAAACAAAAGAAGTGATCTATTTGAAACTTCATTAACTCCTCTGATTTCAAAAAAAATGATTATTCTTATACAATCCCAATCCTAAAGGTTAAATTGGCCATTGAATTTTCCCCATGTCAAAATTAAGGCGGTTTGGGGTATTTCTTTCACTAAAAGAAAAATTCACTTATATTTTGCTTTTTTATGATTTTAAAAAATGTAACATATAAATGGTTTGTGATTTTTAAAAAAAGCATCACCAAAGTTGGACAGCGATAAAATTAAGATATAATGTATCTAGGAATAATAAATTCAAATTTTAACTTAGACCATAAAAGGAAATATTTTATATTAAATGTGATCCAGTTTTGTAACCACAAATATGAAAAGTGTAAAATAGACACATATATTTGCCAAGATTATAGTGAATCCTGTTTGATTGATATAATGAATATCTCCAGTGTCATATAACACAATAAAAATAGGTACACTATGAAGTGTTCTAAAATCTAAGGAATACATGAAAATATCCTTTACTATTCCCAACCAATAATGTATTCAATAAGTTCTTCTGATTACCTATCTGAATCATTCCTTAAATAATTTTAACAGATAAAATCAATCTATTTATTAAGAAAAACTAAACACATCTTCAGATGCCAAATAAAAGAATAAAAGAAGACTATCACCACTCTGAAAATGCATACATTCCCCAATGCATATATTCCCCAAAATGAGAAAGCTGTTTTTTACTACAAGGCAACAACTTTAGGTAAGCTAATTATAAAAACGATATATAAATAAATCAAATTAGGTTGCTTTAATCGAGTAAGAAAAAAAGATATATTCATACACCACCAGTAATAAGTTAGTATTCGGTAAAATTTAGATTCTAAAAAATAGATAAGTGAATTACACAGCAGAGCAAAAAGTAAAATAAATCTACTTGTAGATCCTTTTTCTGATTACAATTATTGAAAAACGCACTTTACAATCCTCATCATACAATTTTCCCAAATTAAATATATGACATGACGAAATACCCCATGCAATATACAGTTCTATGAATTCTAAATTCATACCAATTAATGTGCAAAAACCATTTTATCATTTCAACCATAAATATTAAAAAATTACTCAGAAAGGCAAGGTTGCTTAAGACATTTTAAGGATATAACTTGAGCAAAAAAAAAAAGGAAAACAAATATGATAAATATGAGGAGATTATATTGACTATAATAAAAACAATACACATATCATTTGAGTTGAAATTTATTAAAATATCCCCAAAGTGTGTCTGTATTCTGCATTTCATATCCCGAAGAAAGTTTTTCTCAAATACACCAGTATTTTAACTAAATCTTCCAAACACAATTACATTCTGTTTCAAAACTTAGGTTTTGAGAAAATCCATTAGGTTATACAACTAAAGTACACTTTTCCCCAAATATACTGTCTTACCAAATGAGAAACAGAAAAATGCTTCATGAAATAAACATCAGGCATATTCATTCTAATAGAAGAGTCATAAATACATATGAAACACACAAAAATGGGCTTCCGAAATATTGCAAAATGCTACAAGAAAGTCCTTATAATTCAGCGATATGAATCACAGTTTTATCATTTAGATATCTGAGATGAGCAAGGTAGGTATCCTTAAGTATATCTGAGTAAGAGAAGTTGAAAGTAGCTCAGAGGCTGTTATGTTGAAGAATACCAGGACCTTAGACAATTCCACAAGCTTGTAGTCAAGTGTGAACAGAAAGACTATTAAAATTAAAGTCTATCAGGAGAAGAGAGATGTATCTGTCTAAACAGGTAATAACCTAGTTAAAATCGTATTTAAATACAAAGTGTTCCGAATTATTAAAGCTTCTTATAAATTACAAGGCTTTATTTTACCCTTAAAATTGATTCCACAGTGTGTGATTGGTTTCCACCTGTTACAGGCAGAGTGTAAGCCTTCTTTTATCCAGGCATTTCAACTCACATTTGATCAGGTTACGTCACTACACACAAAATTTTATTCAACGCATTCCCGTTTTCCAACGGATATTCTTGCTCTATACAGAATAACATGCCTCAGAACTATAAATAAAATAAGCAATTTCAACACAGTAAGAAAAAAATGCACAACTAAGTGGCCTAAAAACAAAAGATCTAATTCTTGGTGCACCCTTTCCAACCCACTGAAAATTAACTATATTCAAATGAAAAGGCATTTAATTTACTATTTGGAATATCCTTGATAAACACCAATTTTCTGTAACATGCCCGCACATCTGATAGCACCTCATGTATAATGCAAAAAAGCTATTTCATTTTCATCTATTGACAGTGAATTTAATTTACCATTGCAGTTCTTTTCCTAGAACTAGCACGTTATTAATTCTGCAATCAAGCTCTTTTGAGTGCTTTTATTTGGTCTAAGAGTTTTCACAATTCCACATTGATTTTTTTCATCATAATATACCTTTTAAACATACGAATGTGAATATGTTAGTAAACTTTCTTAATGCATAAGGAAACTTTGAGAGACAAGGAAAGCCATCTACAAAACCACCCTCACAGGAAACAAACTTTCAAAGGACATCATATCTAATAGATTACTTTTTAGTTTAATAAATTTAATGTTTACCAAATATATTACATTTAATTTACATAACTAAATGATAGTTTCAACCATTCTAAAACCTTCTTATCCAGCATAATGGTCCATTTTCTACCACCAAGCGATTGGCTATGAAAATGAAATCCTCCAAATGTTCTGCTTACATTCATGCCAGATGTCTTTGCTGTATTAAAGAACTCTTACTGAATTAGATCATTGAAAGCAAATCAGCTTTCCTTTTCCACCAGGAAAAAAAAATAAGCAGTATCGGTCCCCTCAGCACTGAATAAATATTTTTTTATGGCCATAAAGATAAAACGACTAAAAGTAAAATGGCAGAAGCTACATCTAGGTAAAAGCAAATCAGTTAATGTTTTACCTAGGGATACTCTATTCAATTATGCAGATTTTCCAATTAAACTTAAAATCAATATATTGAGTAGCAAAATGATAGAAAAAAAGAAAAAGGTAAACATGCAGAACTCTGTAACATTTGGGGGAAAAAAAGCACACAGGAAAGTACAATAAAAAAATCATACCACCTAGGAAACTTGCCATATTCCAGTGGGTTACAGTACTACACAAACTGTTAACATATTTTAATCAAATAAGTAACACAAATTTTGAAGCATTATTTTACTTCTTACATAATATATATTTCTTTGTCGCAATTACATTAAAAACACAATATTTTAAAAATGTGAAGAGGCAGCCCTGTCCTCTTTACTTCACTCCAGGGCCAACAAACAAAGCAATGAAGCAGAAAGAGGTACATAATGGATTTAGAAGTAAATGGTCCATTCTTTAAGAAGCCTTCCTACCCCCACCCTTCTGAATTCACTCTAGACTAATTGTCATTACAATGATGTCTGAAAACTTCAGAAGAACCCTATTTCCTGATGCCAGCTGTCCAGGTTTCTATCTTTAAATTTTAGAGTTTTTTCCTAATTAGAAAGAAGTATTTAGAAATGCCCAGAAGATTCACCTCGCAATTTGTCTAAATCACAGACAAGTACATCGATTATAGAAACAAGACACGATCAACAGCGCAAACATTCTTAAAATTTTTCTACAAATACTCTAATACAGCAAATATATATAAAATAAAGTCTACACTATTACGAATTTCTTTCAATACAGCACAGAACACACGTAGATCTTCTCTTTCTTTCCTTGGGGATTTAGCAAACAATCTCTTCACCATTGCACCTACCTGGATAAAAATCTTTGGACTTAGACAGCTTGATGGTGGCTCCGGTTTCTTTTTGCAACTGAACAATTGTCTGTCCTCCCTTCCCAATTATAGATCCAGCAGCATAGCTAGGTATGAGAACCTTTAGAAAATACTGGCCGTCTTCTGAAAAATGCAAAGAAATATATTTCATTAACACGATAATTTAAAAGTTTGTATCCCCTCTCCACCCTCAAGAGAGAAAAACAGCAATTAAAACATTGGGCACACAGCTGCAGGAAACACGGGGTTAAATTTTTTTTTTAAAGGACAAAAATAAGCCCATTACACTGAAAAATAAATATGTACAAAATGTTTCCCATCTTGTAGGATTTATACTTTCAAACTTGGAATGAAAATCGAAACATGTTCTATTATTTTGCAGCACTGTAGAAACTGATGACTAAATTCCAGTTGTTATTCCAAACATGGAAGACTTCCAATTCTATCTGTAGTTACTATGGTAAAGCGAAATGAACTGACCCTTTAACAAAACTTCAGAGATTTATAAGGTGGCAAACCTTCACTTAACATATCGCAAAATAAATTAATAAAAGGACTGTAAACAGTGATGAGCTATATTTGTTTGACATTAGCAAACACATAAGGACTACAATTAACCATTTCCTATATGCTACTTAAAGTATGCAAAACAACCATTCTCCCACCAAATAATCCACCCAAACTGTAGGGTGTATTCCAAGCCTTCAATAACTGCCAGGAAATAAAGTGATGTGGACTGGCAAATCTAACTAATCCTGGTGTATTTCTTTAGCACTTCTTAGTCTACCATGATCTCGTTTAAGCTCATTAATTAAAGGACCTTAAGAAGAATTTTGCAAATACTAAAAAGCTTAGGAGTCATTTATCCCAAATAAACTTAAAAGTGACCAAACAGATAATGTTCCTTCTCCAAAATAACCACAGTTTTCAAAACGGAGAGGGGGGGTGGATGAACCAAGAAAGAGTGAAATGAAATGTTTCAGAAAATAAAGCCAACTCCATGAACTTTAATTTCCGTCCAACTGATCATGTCTTAAATAGGAAACACCCCGCTAAATCCAGCTTTCTTATGTGAATGACCGTTCCAAATTTTGCGGGTGTACCATTCGCAAGAACCCCATCCGTCTCTAATGTACATGCTGTAGATAAATTCACCTCTGCCTCGATGCATTGGGTGCATTGTTAAGATGACTCCAGTGCAAATGAAGAAGCGATACCGGTCCGGTTATAACTCATCTTCCCAGCAAGCGCAGGATGTTAACTAACAAGTCACAGTACCAGACACCCCCCCCTCCCTCGTATGCACACCCCTGAAGACAAATCAATGAGATATTTGCACCGACAGTATAAGTGCGGTAAGAGCATGCACTCATCAAGATTTTGCGTACTACTTGTGGCCCAAAGCAAGGGGATGGGGAGAGAAAAACTCTCCGGTGCCCCAATCATTTGCTATCCGCTACCCAAGTGCCATTTATTTATTTATTTTAGCAGACTGTTAAATGCAGCGCGCATCTTCGGGCGGCCATCGCCTCACTCGGAGGTCATCCTCCTCCTCCCTAACGGACCCCCTTGCCCAGGTCTAGGATATTTAAACGGCCAGCCTTTCGACCGATTAAATGGAAAGATAGGTCTATTCCGAAAAACCGGTCGCCATTTTGATGAATGATAAACACAGAAATGGAAATGTGTCGGGACGGCGAGGCGCGGGGCAGGTGCAGGGGAGGGGGCGCGGGGCAGGGGCGCGGGAGCCGCCGGGTTCGGGCGAGAGGTGTCCGGGCCGCGGGAGGGAGGGAGGGCGCTGGGAGGGAGGGAGGCAGGGGCGGGCGGCGGGGGATGGGGCCAGCGGGGAGGTGGAAGCGATACCCACCGCCCGTATTGGTCCTCTTGGTGCTGCCGGCTTCAGGGGGGGCTTCCAGCGGCCTTTTCCGCGAGTCCGGCGGGTCCAGGTCTATGGGAACCCCAGTGTGGGTCCCGTTCTGCTGGATGGGAGCTGCCGCCATCATGTTTGCAGTTCCTGCCGCTGCTACGGGGAGAAGGTTCTCCCTTTTGTTTTGGCTTTTCTTTTTTTTTTTTTCTTTTCTTTTTTTTTTTTTTTTTTTTTTGCGTTTGGGGTTTCTTAAGGTTTTTTTTTTTTAATCGGATCAATAGAAATCTCTTTAGGAAAAAAAGCAATGTTGCTGGTTTGTTCTCACTGGGGAGGGGGCAGGGCTGAGGAGCAGCTGCAGTGCAGTGTCAGAAAGGAGACAGGGGAATGGAGGGGGTGTGAGAGACGGAGGGTGAAAGAAGGAGAAGAAAGGAGAGAGGGGGAGAGAGTGGAGAAGGGAGAGGGGCGAGTGAATGAGCGGGAGGAGGGGAGCGGGGAGGACGGGCACAGGGAGTGGGAGAGCGCGAGGGCTGGCGGGGCGCGGGGAGAAGCCGAGGAGGAGGGGAGAGTGAGGGAAAGAGTGAATGAGCAGGAGGAGGGGAAGGAGGTGGATGCGGAGAGCGGAGCGAGCCGCGGAGAAGGGCAGGAGCCGGGAAGGAGCGCGGCGGTCCCGGCGCCGCGCTAGCGCTGCGCTCGCTCCCGCTGCTGGTGCTGCCGCCGCCGCCGCTGCCGGAGCGGTTCTGCCGTCGCCTGGGCTGCTCGGCGCTGCTGCTGCTGCCGCCCGGTCTCGCTCATTATTTCTCCCGCTTGTGGGGGGGGCCGGCGGGGAGGGAGGGGGACGGCTGCGAGGGGAGGGTAGAGCGGGGTTGAGTTCGTAGACTCCCACACACTTCGCGCTCGGGTCCCTGCCTCTCAGCAGCGCCGCCGCCGCCGCCGCCTCCCAGCGCCGATGCCTCAGCCTGCGGGGGCG